AAGGCCTGTTCTAACAAATAATGATATAGCTTTTTAATCATTTTATCCTCAGTACCTAATAATATTTTATCCAGCTCTATCAATTCTGTTTTTATACCTAATTCTTTTTTGTCTTTCCGACATCTCGCCTGCAATTGAAGATATGCCCACCATTCTAATTTTAATCCTCCATCTTGCAGGGTTTTTCTAGATTTCAATTGGAATTGAAATTTATTTACTTATTTTTGATCTACTTCTAAGCCATGGGTGTCAAATTCGCGACGTCATGTGACGTGTCGCAACATATTGCGATTTTTTCCCCATTGCCGGCAATGGGGTGAGCGTGGTTTTGGTGTGACGCATCCGGCCCACAGGCCGGCAGTTTGACACCCCTGTTCTAAGCTATCCTGATGAACTTTACCACATGTTTTCTCAAAGTTGTTCATGTGCTATAAATTGAATTGGCTTGCGTTTGAAGTTGGGCCCTGGGCATATCCGCTTCAGAAAAAGAATAGTGCAAATATTTTTGATAAATTTCTGAGATACTTGGAAATCTAGGGGGAATCTAGAATCAACAATTTAATGAAAGTACGTATCTGTACTTAGTTCTTAAAAGCAGAATAATGTTAAAAAGAGCTTTGTTAAAACAAATAACTTAGAAGATTCATGGAGAAATCACATTCATGTAAGAATTGGTTCCCACAATTATTGGTAACCTGAAATTTATTTATTTTTTATTGCTTTAATGCAGGGGTAGTCAACCTTGGCTCTTTTATGACTCGTGGACTTCAACACCCAGAATTCCTGAGCCAGCATAGCTGGCTCAGGAATTCTGGGAGTTGAAGTCCACGAGTCATAAAAGAGCCAAGGTTGACTACCCCTGCTTTAATGGAACTAGGTTTTGTTTGGCTTGCTTGGCCTTGTTTTGGCAGTGTGTGCAACAAAGAGTTAAATGTTATTGCTTTTCTCACTCAACTTCATCTACTTCTATAACGGAATCATAGAATCTGTTCCAGCAATGCGCTGAGACTAGACATTCTGTATGATTTTATTTTAAAATCAGCTTAATTTCACACAAGATCTCATTCCCCCTTGATTAAACTGAATACAATTATAGAAGGTAACTTATTTTTTCCTAAAGCTGACACCGTCGTCTTGGGGAGGGGAGAGAGAGAGAAACAGTTTGTTCTCCTAAATCAGTGTTTCTCAACCTTGACAATTTTAAGGCATGTGGACTTCAACTCCCAGAATTCTGGGAGTTGAAGTCCACATGCCTTAAAATTGTCAAGGTTGAGAAACACTGTGACCTAAGTAGGTTGCCATTCTGCCTTTTTGTCTGCTCTTCTTTCCATGGGCACATTTGCAATTGTTTGGCAGTAGTGGTGTTGAACTCCACAAGTCATAAAAGGGCCAAGTTTGAAAATCCCTGCCCTAATTGATCAGGCAAGTTATAAGTGACAGGGGAAGTTTATACCTTCAGACTTGCAAGATTCTGCTAATGTAATCTTGCATTAAAGTCTAATTAGCTTATCTAGCCTTGTTTCCTTTCTGGTTTACCTGGAAGGCTGACAAACCGCTCTTGGTTTCCTCAGGATAAACAAAAGAGAGATTCCAACAATGCAAGTCTGAATGCGTGACATCTACTTTAGAAAGCTCAAGTGCAATTTTCCAGCTCTTGGCCTAATTGACATGGGAGTAATAGAGGATGAATAGCATGTCCCAGGTATCTGCCCAGACAGCTCATGTTGCTGTTAAAAAAAACACTGGGCTAGGCACCTGCTTCAATTTTCTATGCAGAGGAGTGGCCAGCTGGCCACCAGTCTAACCTGGCCCAGGGCCAAATGTCAGGAGAGAGGCTTAAAAGGGTGTGTGTGAACTACATTATCAGAGAGAATGAATGAACTGCCATTCAAGTTTTGGAGCCGGACTAAAAAAGAAGTGAAAAATATAACTTAAATGCAGTTGAATTTCTCACCCAGCTTTCTATTTTTCTAGGAAGAAGAGATGCCAGATGTAGAAATTGATATTGATGATCTTCTTGATGCTGCTAATGAAGAGGAAAGAGCCCTCAAATTACAAGTTAGTTTGATTTTAAGCGATTTGGGAGAATATCTCGCGTTAATTCGGACTGTCTGTCTTCTATCTAGAACATCCTGTTAAGGTTTGGAGGGCAGATTAACAAAGCATAATAAAGAAGGGTAAAATTAAGCCTGTAACACCTACCTGTGAATTGTGGCTGAGGATTAGCATTCCCATGATTGATGGGTATGGGTTTCCCAGAATGTGTCACTGTCTGTCTGGCAGTTTCTATTGGCCAGGAAAATAGTGCATTTTAACATGGGAAATGCTTCACTTATCACACTTTTGCTATGGCTTTGAGTGACAAGGGAAAATGTTACTAAAGTATGGGTCAAAGTATTAAGCTTTTCATGGATGGTTGATTTTCACACCCACGAGAGAAGCCTGTTTTGCATATGCTCCTTTAGAAAAGATGTGACAGCTATCCAGAAGTACCCAGTTCTTATATATGTGAAAGTGGAATGAAAGATAACTGATGCTTTTATTATTGTACTTCTAGGAAGCGCTTGTAGATTGCTACAAACCTACAGAGGTAAACAAATTTTATATTATTTTACATGTAAAAATTTGACATAGTCTTCTGTATAGACAACAGTTATATTTGCCAACTATCCTGATCAACACAGATAATCAAATAAAGAGTTACTTTCAGTTACATTCTGCATTTGGGTATTATATGTAATTGAAATTTAAAAATGCAAATCTCTACACAGACTTATAGAGTTAATGCCAAACATAGCATTGTTTGGTAGTGCCTATAAACTTTATTTATTTTAATTCTTTGGATCAGAAAAGAAAAGTATTACAGCATCTTGAAGAAAAAAAACATATTTAAATACAAGTTCATACAACTTTTAGAGATTTATTACAGTATTTCCTGCCATTAGAAAAAGAACTACTAATGGCTGCCACAAAGAATTCAATTAATTCACCTACACTGGCTACTCCTAGAGTTTATTAGATCATTTGACCTTGAAAACTATTTTTAATTTTGTGAAACTACAGATTTTGTGGTGCTGAATTAACATGTTAAAAATAAGCACCAAATTTACATCCAATTTCTTCCTTTTTCTCTGTAAGAATGCTTTTACACAGTAATTGTTTCAGATATTTACCTTACGAGTGATAATTGAAGTGTGGGTGATTATAGCAGCTGTATGTGGACAATAGGGATGATTTTTAAGCGGTTGATTTCTGCCAATATAGACTTAGAAATACATACATACACTACATCACTCTTATTCCTTCTCTCCCTCCCTGTTTAGTTTGGGCCTCTTAGAAAAAGTCATTGGACTATACTTTACCTTTCAGTTCTTGAAAAAAAGAATAGCATGCCCTTAGATTAAATAGTAGTAATCCTATCAATATACCACAATCATGGTATGAATCCATGTCTTCTCCTAGATCCTGGAAAGATTTGGTGGAAGAAATGTAATTCCTGATTGAATAGATTGTTATATTGTTTTGTCAGAAACGAAGTTTAGAAAGCTTCTTCCAACTACAGGAATATAATGCACAGAACCACCCAAGGGTTTTATTTCTATATCACCATCTGGAAAAGACAGATTGTTTTTTAGAGGTAATTCAGTTGTGTTTTCAGCATCTATGCTGTAATTTACTCTATGTTAAAAAAATTAATTCTTATTATGTGTTGTTAGCTGCATTTGAGAGATGGATGGCCAAATGCATTGATTATATAAATAGATATATATCTTATTTTTAACAAGATATATACAACTATGTTTGTGCTCCTGGCAACGAGCCTGATGTTTGCCTACTATGAATTGTGAGTTGTGGTTTCTGAATTCAGAGGAGAAAAAACTTACAGGAAAGTTGCATTGATATAAACAACTGCTTATGTCCTGTAAACCCATGTGGCAGAATATGGGATGTTTGTCAACCCCTCCCCCAAAGTTCTTAAGAGCTAACGCTGCTGAGGATTTTAGTCTTAGTTGTGGTGATGGTAGCATATTTTGAATATCTTTGCCTGTTAATCTTGAGACAAAACTCCTTCCATAATAATAGTTAATAATTCAGGTGTGGAGCAGCTTATGTAACAATGCTGATATTCTGAAGAGATCTAATACATTTTGCATTTGGGTTTGATTTGGACTACAAGCTTATGTTTAAATCTTTGGTGAAATATTACAATATCAATATCAATAGACTGGACTTTATACCGCTCCATAATGCTTTATAGCACTCTCCGAGCGGCTTACAGAGTCAGCATATTGCTCCCAGCAATCTGGCTCCTCATTTTACTGACCTTGGACGGATGGAAGGCTGGGTCAACCTTGAACCAATCAGGATCGAACTGCTGGCAGTGGAATGAAGAATTAGCCTGCAATACTGCATTCTAACCACTGTGCCACCATGACTCTCTGCTGCATGCAATCTTTCTCCCCTGGTGCTTTCTGCATAATGGATGCCATTTTTCATTACTTTTGAATTCAGAACTAATACACCTACAGGGCACCATTTAGGGAAAGTTAAAGTAAAGTCTCTTTTGATGTGAATTCAACACTGGTGACTTAGGAAAGCTAAGGTAGGCAATAAGAGTGGATCAAAGCTCTGATACACTATATACAGCAATCTCTAAGATTAGTAATTGAAATGTGCTGTACAGCTGCTAGTAGCATTAGTGCAAAGCATTTGGATGTCTTTCATGGCCCTTGACACACCAGCTTTATAGCCCGCTAAACAAACACCCTGCTGTTGGGTTGTTTCTCCATGGCTTTCATTAATACACCAGCTTTTTTAACATGTAGGAAGTTCTCTCTTTATCTCTGTTGTTCACATCATTGGATTTGTGCTCTACAAGAAGTGAATGCTGCATTATTATTATTTTTTGATGAAGGGATGCCTTATCTTAAGAGTAAGCTTGGTGGGTGCCAACAATTAAAAATAGTTTCTGTCTCATGACGTTAGCCTTGAAGAAGATATTCTTTGTACACAGCATTCAGGCCTTTTGCAAATGAGGAAATGGCAAAATAAAAGCCTAGTAGCAGATCGAAAAAGACAATGCTTCAAGAATTGGTGTTTTGCTCTAAAAGGTACATACAACTGTACCTTTTACTGGGCACTTGGAAGTCTCAATCCATTGGCACTTAAAATAGCTTTATTGCTTGAAAAGAAAAGCCCCTGGCATCAGAAGCATCCAGGAAATGTTTGGCTATTATAACTAATGAGTGACTTTGCGCTATTAATAAATACTTAGTTCCATTTCCAGACAGCAACCTAAAATAGAGTTACGCTTAGTGTGAAATTTCAGTCATGGCATTTTAAAGAAAGTGCCATTAATATTTGAGGAGAAAATGTTTATTAGTGCCTTCTGATTTATTCAGATGAAACCTAGGATTGGGGAAATCAGTTCTTACAGGAGTCAATGCACATGTTTTTAAAATACATTACCACAGTGCCTAGTTGGCCGGAAACAGGAAGCTAGTTCAGATGTCAAAAGTTCATATTTCTTCAAAATTTGCCAACTTGCTCAAATTTTTCTTTTCCTCTTTAAAATTAGGCTTGGGCCTTAGTTAGCATAGTTAGACATAAAGTACATAAATTAGGTGACCTTGTTGATTCTTCAGAAGCTACTGGGAGGAAATAATTGATTTTATCTCAAGATATCTGTCTATAAACAGTATGTAGTAGAAACAATGCAGCCTTAATGTCTATGGAAATTCTCAGTCATTCAGGTCATAGTTGTCCCAAAGGTGCCTTTTTTTTCCAAAAGGCAACTGGACTGTTTTTTTGTTGTTCATCAGTTGAACTGATGAAGCTTCTTGAATGAGAAGCGAAACAACTTCTTTTCCTCCTTCTCCTTCTCTTCCTCCTTCTCCTCCTCCTCCTCTTCCTCCTCCTCCTTCTCCTCCTCCTCGTCCTCCTCCTCGTCCTTCCTCTTCCTCTTCCCTGATTAAATCCACAAGGAAATATACATAGCCCAAGCAGAGTGAATGTAGAAGAATAATTTAGTAGAACATAGGAATGAATTTAAAAAATTGATGTACCCATCCCCATCCCGCAAAGTGGAATTACTGAACTTTGCAGAAGGAGCGGCTGCACTCCCCACTGTGAAAATACAAAATCATAGCCTTTGTAGACAAAAATAAAAATAAAAAAATAAAAAATGCAAAGCAATTTCCAAAAAGCAGTAAAAATGGAAATAACCACCCTAAAAAAATGTCTGGAGAAAAGACCACTAAACTTCGAAAGATATGGAATGAGTAATTTGTTAGATAATTCAGAACAATCATGTAGCACGTCAATGAAGGACCACTCCCACGATCAACTTACAGTTGACTATTATTTTGTGCCTGAATGATGATAATTGACTGATTGTCAGAATGTTACATTTTATTTACTGGTGTCCTGCAAAACAATGACTTTTTTGAGACTGAAAATGACCAACAAAGCAAATTTGGTGTTTGCTTGTAAAATCTTAAATGATAATGCAAAAACCTTCTTTTGGTGACGTTTTGCTCATATATTAACTTAAGTTAGTTTGTCCATACTAAAAAACTTATACTGTATCGTTATCTTTGGAACCCAGATTAGGAACCATTTTAATAGATTTTGGATCTGATGAATTGTGTTTCATGAACTGGAGTCTATTTTTTTGTTTGGTGAAAAGAATTAAGAAATTTTCATTCATTTGAGCATATCTACCTTTTAGCGAGAGAACGGGGAGAATATGCTGAATGGGGATTAAACTGATAAGGTGAGTGGTCTGAAAGAAGATTACAGGAGAAATCCTGCCCTTTGTATGATGGTAGCAATCATCCTCTGCAACTGAATGAAGCAAGTGCATTGGAAGGGTGGAAAGAGTTTAACTTCTTTAGAGCCTCACACTCTATACAGGCTCCTTCTGCTATAGAATCTTGGCAATGACATCAGTTCTTTAGAATTGAAAAGTGGTGATTTGATTGGATGTACCTTGATTCTGATTCACTTTCATGTAGGATCTTTGAAGAGAATTGAATGGCTGATATAGCTAGTCCTCGATTTACAAGAGTTCATTTAGTGATGGTTCAAAGTTACAACAGCATTGAAAAAAGTGACTTATGACTGTTTTTCATACTTATGACCATGGCAGCCTCCCCCATGGTCACATGATCAAAATCCAGACAGTTGGCAACTGACTCATATTTATGACGGTTGCAGTGTCCCGGGGTCATGTGATCAGCTTTTGCAACCTTCTGACAAGCAAAGTCAATGGGGGAAGCCTGATTCACTTAACAACCGTGTTAGTAACTTAACAACTGAAGTGATTCACTTAACAACTGGGGTAAAGAAAAGTTGTAAAATGGGTCAAAATTCACTTAACAAATGTCTCACTTAGCAACAAAAATTTGGGGCTCAATTGTGATAATAAGTCGAGGACTACCTGTATTTGATATGTAAGAACAATGGAGGGTGGAGATGAGTTGCATTTTGAATACATTTACTATTATTTTTAATTAGCGATCCCCCCCCCTTTTTTTTTTTTAGGATTTTATCAAAGAACTTCTAACTCGGATAAGAGGGATGAGGAAACTGAGCCCTCCTCAAAAGAAGAGTATATAAGTGAAGACGGAGCCTCTTGAGAGAAGTGATCAATAAACTGGAACTATTAAATAGGACACCTGCTAGTTTGGTTGTTATGAGCAATTTTCTCTTTTTTGGCTGAATTCTGACATTTTAAAGAATTCAACCCCTTCTGTTTAAGGCAGTTTTTTTAAAGTGTGATTTTATTTTATCACAGATAGCAACATTATGGATGCTGCTTTTACTACCTGCAGATGATCAAGATAGATGGAAAAAACATCGATTTTAGAGGGACTTTCCTAGGCAGTTAATTCTGCCTGCTGTAGAACTACTAGGGAAATGCTGTTCCTTTACAGCCAGTTTGATCATTAAGTTGTACACCAGACTCATGGATGTTAAGGTTCTTGTGCTTGTGTACATACATTATCAAGTGAGTGTTACTATTGATTCACATCGATGGAACGAAATGTGCTCTAAGTAACAATATAAACCGAAGTTATAACCAATGTGGTGTTGCGGGCAGGAGGGGAGGGGAGGGGTGCAGTCTGTTACGTGGGGGTGCTGCCACTGTTAAAGCATTGCAACAAACGCCTCTGTTCACAAAGCAACACATAAGCAAACCGGGGTCCAAGGGCTTGATTTTTTTAGGGTTTGAACTACTATTACCAACTTTGAGGCTCAGCCAGATGATCTCTCTTCGTTTTATGATCTGTTAGGATTGATCAACCTACTGCTAAAAGATCTGATAGGACAGCAAGAAAAAGGCCAATACCGTTATGAGAAAGCCTTGCAGAGAAGGGAAATGCAAGTCCACCCGCCCCCTTCTTATGATAAGAATATCCGGCTATTGCTTCCTATTTTGACATCCAACCTGGTAGGTTGGCTGGCTGACTGGCTAAGTGATCTGGGTTGTAGAAGTGAAAGCCTGTTCCCCAAACTCTTCAGGAAAATATTCTTTGTTCTAATGCAGTGTTTCTCAACTTTAGCAACTTAATAACATGCTGGCTGAGGAATTCTGGGGGTTGAAGTCCACCCATTTTAAAGTTGCCAAGGTTGAGAAACACTGCTGTAATATTTCACAAGCTACCATCTGCTGGTAGATGCTAGTCTGGCATTTTATATCAAGGGTGCTCTGAACATAATTTTATTTTTTAAAAAAGAAGAAATACATGTTTGTGGACTTTATGTATACTGGCAAGCTTTTTTAAATGTATTTAATTTTGTAATGTTTTATTAATGACTTTATTTACCAGATATTTACTCAAATAAATGCAACAAATGGAGATGTTGTTATGTATATGTTAACTGTTGATAGAAAACTGGAACATGAAGGTGAAAAAGCTATTTTAATTTTGGGTAGGTAACTAACAACTTCATAAACTATATGCACACTGTTTCCTAAGGAGTTGATACATATATGTCCTTCAACAGCTTTCCTCTGTTTTCAGGATTATTTTTATTTAAATGATTCAGTTATTTGAATGGCAAAATTTCATGAAAAGAAGTGTGTTTCCCAAGCACATTGTACTCTGTTTTAATATTAATTGTGAGTTACATAAAGATATGTAAAACCTTTCCCTTCCTCACTTGAGCCAACTCATGTCCCATGTATTTCTCTGAAGTAAATATGAAAATATGTTTTATTTCATACCCTACATTTTGTTTGAATCTGATAAATTTACTGAAATGCTTTTGGAATCACAGTTAGTAGAAATGATTGGAGAAAAATGACATACAACAGCCTTTAGAATGAAGAATGCTAAGTGGTATTTAAAAGATTACAAAGAATTAGCTATCTAGATCAGTTGCTGAAGTGTTGTTTTGTGACCTTGATTATTTTAATCCTGATATAATTTTAACAGATGTTCCTGGCCTATAAATAGTAATTACACTTTTTTCTTACAAATACTCACTTAAGGTGGGAAGGAGGTGGCAATATTGGGGTTTGTCTGATTTAAAAGCTGAACTAAAATGTTCCTGCTATGTTTAGGTTGATGGGAATAGAAACAATCTGGGAAATGATTTGTCCAATATGAGGTTTTAATCCTAATTTTATAATCCTTGCATTGTTCTATTCTAAAACAAGAGAGGAAATAGAGAAACTTTCTCACTTGTTTTTTAAATATATAATATTTAAAAATATTATAATATTATTAAAGGTATAATATTATTAAAGAATTCATTAAAGAAATTCAGAATTTACTACAAAGATCATCATTTGAATGCAGGGCAGACCATATGGACTTTCACACTGCCATTGTGCGTCACTTAAAAATGGCTTGAAATAACTCCATACTAATCTTCATTTCTATGGCTGTCAAAAGCCCCATGTACAGTGCATAATCATAACTCAAGAAAACCCAGTGTAGTGCTGGTCTTGGAGAAACAAAAATTCCTTTACTCCACTTCACACAAAAGGGAAACAAAATGCTACCACCCCACTCCCTATCCTTAATTTACCCTATGTGCGTTGGCTGGTCATATACAGTGATAATAAAGAAAACTCTGATAATTTGCTTAGAGGCAAATGAGGGGTGGTTTCCATGAATGGAAGAACAAATTGCCCACAAGTTCAGCAAAACTGTAGCAATATAAAGGTTTTGCTTTAGTTTCAGATATAAAACAGGATTGAGAGTGAGCAAATTTGATTCTTGAACAAAACTGATAAAGTGGAGTTGCAATTTCCAGTTCCAGTACTGCCTCTGATACTCCATAGGGAGGTAACTCCACATCTTCAATTATGCTCACACAGGTATGTATCTATCTTTGCTGGGGTTTTTTTAAAAATTAAAAATGGGGGAAGAATCTAATTAAAAACACCTTCAAATGGAGAATGATGATTGTATATGTCTAGTGGAGAAGCTTTTTCTGTTGACAATTTTTGGGTTCTAGTCTGTATTCCTAAATGTTTCTCCCCAACCTCTCAAAATCTTCTATAACCATGTGTAAGGTTAGACAGACACCTTCTTACATGAACACAAGACACTGTTTGGACTTGAGCAACATGAGGCAGAAAGAAGATTCTGTTTCATTTTCAATGGCTTTTTTGCATAAGTAATCCCATCCAGAATCAAGAGTTTTACTGCACTTTTGCTCATAATGGGTAGCTTGATTCCTCATGGATTGGCTGCCTTCTGCTGATGATCTGATTACAGGTGTTCTAATGGAGAACATGGCGGAAGCAAGAGGTGGGAGGGGCTTTGAAAAAACTACCATTTAGAATGGAAAGGATTTTCTTTTTATCATCTGGCAGCAAAGTAGGAGCCTCAGTAATAATCTCTGCCTTAATCTGGGCTAGAGATGGCACTTTTATTTAGCTCCATTCACAAATGTCTTGATGGCTAAGTAGATATGGGGTTGGAGCTAAATTGTTATTATTCGGCTGATGGGCAACTAGAAATGGCATTTTTATTTAGTTCCATTCACAAATGTCTTGTTGGCTAAGTAGATATGGGGTTGAGCTAAATTATTATTGGGATGATAGGCAACTTTCTTGTTTTTAAGAACATTTGATTTTTTTTTAAAAAAGTAAAAACCATATTATTATTGGTAGGGCAGCCCACAAAATGAATGTGATGGCAGCCTTCCTTGTATTGGGATAACTTGGAAGCATTTGTTGTCCACTGTGGATGGGCAGAGAACACAAAGCAAATGTTCAACAAGAGAAATGGTTTTACTTTAATTATCTGAAACTCTGAGTCACATTGGTGGTGAAATATAAAAACCTGTATCATTGGCTGAAAATCCATAGTTAATGTCCTATTTGGTGCCAAGTACAAACCTAGTGATGTTGCATGCTTTCAATTGCACAGTACCATCATGACTAAAACAGCTTCTTCTTATGGAACACGTTTCTGGAAAGTTTAATGTCACCATCGATTCCCTCTTACAGTAAACCAGGAAGCTGCTAAAAAGCAGCGTCTGTTTCTTTTGCCTTCTAGAAGCATAAAACGGTTAGTGTTGTGGCTTGTACTCCTCCAGATTACGCATGCTGAAAATTCTTTGGCCTGTACACAGTATCAAATTGGATTTAAAATAATTCCTTGGCTGATTTCCTGCTCAAGTGGAAAGGGCTGGATTCTTCCTTAGAGCCACAGTGTAGCTTAGATTTCTGAGCTACTGTAAAATGGGAGTTGAATGAAGCAGAGATCTTATTGTAATTCACCTCTGTTAGGCTGTGTGGGAGTCCTTTTACAAGGGTGGGGTGACTTTTGAATAGCACACTGTTAAGTTAAAAAGCATGGAAGCTGACTTCAAGCCAGAGAACTGGCATCAATGAAGACTTGTCTGACCCCAAGTATAATTGCATTTGCCTTTCAAAAATGAGAACGCCATTAAGCTTAAACGTGCATAGCAATGAATATATTCAAAAGGCAATTCTTATATTTGTGCTCTCCCTCCCTCCCTCTCCCTCTCCCCCCCCCCCCAGTAAGGCAAGTTAGTCCAAACACTCGAACCCATTTTGGTATTCAATCTGAAGAATTCCACCAGATGGATGAGCTTTGAAATGAGGCCATCTTTATAGCTACAAGTAGTGATATAGCTAGTCCACGGCTTACAACCACAATTGAGTCCAAAATTTCTGTTGCTAAGCAAGACAGTTGTTGGGTGACATTTGCCCCATTTTATGACTTTTTTGCCACAGTTGTTAAGTTAGTAACACACTGTTAAGGGAACCTGGTTTCCTTGTTGACTTTGTCAGAAGGTCGCAAACGGTGATGACACTGCAACCGTCAGAAATGCATGCCGGTTGCCAAGCATCCAAATTTTGATCACGTGACTGCGGGGATGTTGCAATGTCGTAAGTATGAAAAATGGTCATAATTCACTTTTTACAGTGCCATTGTATCTTCAAACCATCACTAAACAAATGGTCATAAGTCAAGGACCACCTAGTATGTATTAATTTGAAAATGCTGGCATCTTCCTGGTCATTGAGCCTGTTAGGTGTCTTATCACCTCCTCACTGGAACAATGGGAACTTGTAGAGTTATGAACAATCTGTAAATTATCCTTCATTTATTCTCCCCGTTGAAGAGATAGTAGACCCAGCATCTACAGAACATCTGATTTTGATACATTCATTTCTAAGACTATAATGGTTAGTTCAAAGCAATGTTACTATCTTATGGGTATAACCCAGGATGGCTCACACTTTGGCAGCAAAAGCTTAGCTTTATAACTTTCAACCGCTGTGCTAA